TCTTACTGAAAATGCTGAGAGCACAAGTGTGTGAGACAGACCTAGGACCAAATGGCTTCAGAAAAACTGAGAAGGTGCAGCGCACCTTTTGTGTGCTGCCTTGTTCCCCAGTGTCCTTCCAGTGACTTCTCTGCATATAAAGCATCAGAAAAGAATAGTTAACCTCCCTGTGATGGGATGTAGCTTAAGAAGTTAAAAGTGTTTGTTGTGCAAGTATTGAGGTAGAAAAGGAGCTCATGTTTCTGTCACTAGAAAAAAATGCAATGGAGCCCAAAAACATTGGGTTTTGTGTTTGGTTTGTTGTTCTTTTGAAGCATGAACATTTAAGTCAAAGGCATTTCCCTTCTTTCATCAGCAAATAAGTGAACTGTGCATACTGATTATTCCATTATTTGCAAGTCAGAATTGTAAATGGCTGCATTCACTCTGAAGCAGTTTACCATTTGAAAGAAATAATTAAAGCTTTCTTTCTCTTGCTTAAGATCTAACTGTGCATTTAAAAATGAGATCATACTCTCATGGTGGTCATAGTTGCTTTATGTATTTGTGTGGGATAGCCTCAGAAATGGGTGTACAATATGCTGGTGTGCTGTGATATATTTCCTTTAATTATACATTTGTTTTGAGAAAAATGGTTATTCCAGGCCTCCATCTTCCCTCAGTTATGTCCTTACGATCCCACTGCAGTGGGAGTTATGCGTACCTTAGTGTGTAGTTCAGCCATATGTGCTACTTATTTTTATCTCATGCATAAAATAAGCTCTTTCAAACAGATAATTTTTGTTCTGATAATAGAAGATAAATGCAAGTGTGTATGAGGTTCTTTCTTGCTAAATGAGGGTATGACACATGGCCAGTCACCGTGCTTGGTAAAGCTCTTGTTTTGTTGTGCCTGTCTGATGTTTCAGACTCTCAAGAGTTCAATTAATTTATAGATGATAATTTGTTTTCAGCACCTATAGACAGCGATGCCTCCTTTACTCTGCCTCTCCTGTGTCATTCTAAAAGAAGTCAGCTCCAACTCATGAAGCTCAATTTTTGCAATTTGTTTGTGGAAATGGCATGTTCTCCATGCATCATAAACATAGCTGCACAGCATTTTCAAACACACTGTAGAGCTTGTACCCCCTTAAAATGACTATCTTTCCAGGTGCCTGGATTTTCTGTATATGTAATTTCATATCCGTGATTTCTTAAAATCCCTGAGCGCAAGGAATGGAAGACGAGATATAAAAAGAAAACAAAACCACACATAATGTGATCCATCAACATGAATTTCACCTTCTGAAGTTATTTACCTCTTTATAAGTTATTTTACCTGGCCATGTTAGTGATGCAAATGTGCTTAATTCTTGTGGGATGTGTGTGGAGCCTGTGTGAATTGATGGCCATGTCCTGTTGGAAGTTTCCTACGGCACTACAAGAGTGTGATTCACCAGGGAAGCATGCCAGGCCATCACACCAGCAGCTGAACGAGACCATCGTGCTCTCACACACGCACAGCGTGCAGCCAAAAGATGACAGCATGCTAATGGCTTTTGGACAAAAGAAAAGTTAACTATGCTTTTAACAAATTCCGCCTTAAAAATACGGCATCTAAATGAATAGTAACATACTGTAACTCATTGTACTTGGTGCACTGCATGCTTTCTTTTTCAGTGTGTCACAGGCAGTGAAGTGCAGGCCCAAATCCTGGCAGCCCCATGCGAGGAAGGCACTGAGCTCACACCATGGTACAGAAAATGAGTCACGGTGACTTTAAGGCAGGATGGGTTTCTGCTTTGGTTCTTAGTCATTAATTAGTGTTCAGTGAATAACTTAACACCATGAAATTCAGTAACGTTTTAAAATGAGTGTGCCGACTTTGGCTTTTGTGAGCACTGTTTATCCCAGTGTGCTGCGTGACTTTCAAGCTGCAAGGGCTGACATGGTGCTAAACTCACACGTCCTCGGAAACAGGTCCCTGCTTGCGTGCAAGCGCACACGCACGCATGCCTGGGCGCACTCGTTGGCCTACCGCTGTTTTTCTGCCTGAGGAAATCCTCTTTGGTAAGGCACTGGGGCTCGCAAGGTTTGCAGAAGTGAGACCATGTGCTTAATGCGTGATAAATCAAATGCAGAGGGATTTACTGCACCTTTATTGCTGGGAATGACCCGGTCGCCGCGCTTTCCGCTTTCTCTGGTGTCGCTGGTTGGGTGCGGGTTCAAGACAGGGCTTAAGCCACGGAAGCACACGAAGGGCTGTGGCGAGTACAGAACGGTGCATACCTCAGCTCCCCGCCTCCGGCCCTTCCGCCCGGAGCCCCCTGCGCTGCCGGCGCTGAGGGAGGTGGCTGGGCGGAGCGGCGGAGGGGGCGGGCCGCTTTCCCGGCACAGGCGGCGGGGAGCTGCAGCGCCGCCGCCTCCGAGCCCCTCCCCGGGCAGCACAGCCGCCTGCAGAGTGCTCTCGGGAAGCGATATTTAAAACAGCGAGGAGAATGCGTGAGGAGCAGAGGAAGCTGCGGGGCGGGGCGGTGTGAGCCTTGAGACACCTACTGCTGCGCGGCCAGGGCGGCCGTGAGCTCGGGCTGCCGTTTCCCGCAGCGCCGGGGCTCGGCTACAGCTGCTCCCTCCCCGCGCTGCTGTCTCTTGGTAACCCCGAGGGCAACTCGAGAAACAGCCTGGGACTTGCGAGCTCGGACACAGGCGTTTCTGCGCGCTTAAGGTGGAAGTACTGGCGTGTGAGCACCCGGCTGCAGCAGTCTGTTCATCCGTTGTTTCCCCCGCCGGAAGACTAATCTTGTTTCGAAGCTATCCTTAAATCTGATCAGAACCTCAGGACTCTCGCTTGGGGGGGAGCAAAAGCCGGTAGGTTGCTACGGGGGAACCTGCCGCTCACAGTGGCTTCAACCCTGCAGAAAGTTGCGGGGCGGCCTGTCCGTCAGGGTTTTGCTTGCTCTTGCTCTTGTGAGGTTTTGTGTCTGGGCTGTTTCTTATATTTTTTTCATTAAAAAAAAAAATTATGTTAGGACCATTAGACTTGCTTTCTTCAGCAGAGGGAAAGGAGGTGTGGTTCGCATGAGATGGCGAGTACTTGGGGATTGAAATCTCTCACCAAGAGATTTTCCTGTGTTGAAATCTCTTGTGCAAATCAGCGTTGCTGTTGGTGACTGTTAACGTTGTTTCTAAACAATACCGAGTGATTTGGGGTGTTAAAAAATCAGAAATGCCACCAAAATTGGATACTCTGATTCTCACCGTTTTCAGTTTTTAGTTACTGGGGGATTGAGCTCTACACTGTAAGAAGGCAGTTCTTTAAAAATCACAGCAAAACTTAAGTGATAATCAAGTGAGTGATAATAATATTGAATTAAGGTTAGGGTTACTGCCGAAAGTGACCAGAAGTTACTTATTTAGCTCTTTGGCACAGCAGGACTCCTGAGACCCTGGGAGAGCCTCTTGCATATCGCCTCACCAGGGCTGTTAAACCTGGGTTCGGTGAAGTGAAACATCTGATTCCTTTCAGAGTTGAGGATTTTTAAACTTTAGAAGTTAAGTGAGAGTTTAAGGTACCCTTGGTGGCTTAGAAGGAGAAACACCTGGTTTGTCTGTGGAAGAATAACAAGTGCCAGTAAATATAAACTTTATTTTAACTGGCAAACAAATCTACCAGTTGCATTAAATTAAAAATGGGAAACTGTGAAAGTACAACTTTTTTTCCTTTTTCCTGGCAATCCTGACATGCTGTTTCCCACAGTAATGCAGAAGCTTTCTAAATGTGTGTTTCAAATTAAGGGAGACTCAATGAGAAATTTTGCAGAGCAAATTGTCAGTAATAAGAAATTATTGTTAAATTTTATCCCTTTCTGGGATTTTGTTTTGAAATGTGAATTACTTTGTTTGAAATACATTTATCCAAGAAGTAATCCTTAATGTGCTCCACTCTAAGCTTTGAGGCTATGTGCAAGCAGATTGAAGAGGGTTTAATTAAGTGTAATTAAATATTACGAGATTCCTGATTAAAAGCCATGGAGCTTGCTTTCTGGTGACGTATGAGGCACACTATTTATTTGTACTCGAGAAAAAAAAATAGTTTTTCATCTTAGACGTACTATTTTTCCTCTGTTCCTGAGTAACTGGCAAACTGGCACCCTTTTGTTTTCTTGACTGCCTAGTTTTAATTCCTGTTGACCAGCCTAGCAAGAGGCAAATGAGCTCGGTGTGTCACATCAGGGTGACAGAGTGCAGCCTGTGTGTCTGAGTCAGTGTGAGAGAGTGTGGGCATATGAGAGGGGCTGTAGATGATGTGGGAGTGTCTGGAAGTGTATGAGACTGTCAGTGTCTGATGCATAGCAGGAGGAACAGGGTGTAAGCACTTGAGTTCCTGTGTCTAAAAAAACAAGGATTAAATCCTGGCCCCTGCTGGCGCTGGTATGAAGTTTGCTGTTCTTTAAGTGAAGCCAGCAGTTCGTTGATGCAGCTGCTGGGTGGATGTGTGAGATTGTATGAAGGAAGATATATGTGAATGGAATTGGAATGCGTACATCCGCCTGCTTATCTGGTGGGAGAAGAAATGGTGTTTGAATATCTAAAGTGTGGTGGGAACATTCAGGGATATATGTCTGCTAATGCCTCTCAGGTCTGTGTGTGAGGGAAGCATAAAAATGAACAATGCAATGTTCACTTCTATAGAAAATAATGAACTGAAGCGCTGTTTATTATTAACACCATCACGAGGAGAGCATAAGCCCATTCCCCTTTCCTGCTTCCCCTCGGGACTGTGTGTGCGTGCCTGAGTGTCTCTGAGACTTCACGTGAGAGAAGACGATGAGTGTGTGTTTGGGATTAATTAGCCTGAGTTCAGCTGGTTTCATGCTTTACGTGCCTAGGGGCTACCCACAGTCACAGAGAGGGGAGGAGTTTGCTGTTGCTGGCTTGAAATCCTCTCCAGGGGTGATCTTGTTCGTGTCAACCATGAGCAATTAGAGAGATTAACTGTCTTGTTTTCCTTTCTGCCCTAGATTGATTCTTGCAAGGCTCTGGGACATTTGAAAGTGATTTGGGAGAGCAAAGTCCGTGTCTGATGGACACGGAACCAAAGCCAGCGTGTGTTGTGCAGCAGGCTCACTGCCCAGGAATGAAGTGCCCTCCTTCAGAGGACTTTCCTCCTCAGATAAGACTGTCTGAAAAAATACCACCAGTGAAGCCTTGCTTCAAGAAGAAGCAGCAAGTGCAGAAGAGATTGGACACAGAAACTCTCCGGGCTTTGCGGCCAATCTTTACCAGTTTGCTGGGAGCTGGGACCTTGGATAGAGTCTTTGTGCCCCGAGGCCAGAGTGGTGGTCATAGTGATTTATGTGAGCCTACTGTGAAAAAGACTCTGGACCTCAGTAGTTCTTGTCCCCAAACAGAAAACAATGTGACTCTGCTGATGCCAACAGCTCCAAATGTGCAGAGTCAGTTGCCAGTAGCTCATCCTTCTGGGCATCCTGAGCAGGATGTCCAGTCAGGAGAGCAAGACCTCTCACCAGAAACGACTCCGGGAACTGCTGCTGATAATAGTAATGAATCATTCCAGGACCATCCTTTGCACCCAGCTGCTACTGATGGTGCACCTTGTCCTTTGTTCCCAGACAAGATTCTGGAAAGCTACTCATCTATCTTATTCCAAGAGACTAGCTGTCCAATTCAATACAATTTGAGCCTAAGCAATAAATTCAGTGGTGGGATATTCCAGGACAAAAGTGAAGAAGCTTCTCTTGATCTGGTATTTGAGCTTTTGAACCAGCTGCAATATCACACCCATCAGGAAGATGGAATAGAAATTTGTGTGGATTTTCTCCAGGGCAGTTGTGTTTATGGCAGTGATTGTCCCAAACATCACACAGTTTTGCCATACCACTGGCAGGTGAGGAGGACAGCAACCCAGAGTTGGCAAAGTGTGACCAATGATTCCCAGGAGCATCTGGAAAGGCTCTACTGCAACCCTGATAATGATAGGATCAAAGTGAAATATCGGTAGGTAACTAAATTTACTCCCGTACTAGCAAGGGCTCTTAGCTGTGGTGAGGAAGTGTAATAGAATATGTGTTCTTTTTTCCTGATGTTTTGTATGCAAGTGTTTTATAAGCCCTATGATGATGTTACCTGAATAATAACTAACAAGTTTGCCACAACAGAAAAGTCTTGCATGCCCATTAAAACTACTGTTTAGCATCTGGAAAGTATTTTTTGAAGCTGGAAGACTTGAAGTGTATGAAGTAAGGAAATTTCAGCTCTATGTAAATGGAGTTGATGGAGATTGTTGTGTTACATTGTGCTTGTTGTTAACGTTCCTAAAGAATGTTTTCTCTGTATTAGGAAAAGTGGCAGCATGAATGAGCCTGTGCAGTGATTGAAACAGGAATGATAACAGCAGTTGTTCTCTGTCACTGTGAATACAGATTGGCTGTGTGCACTCCGAGCATAGGTTTCATTATTGCACTCTAAGCAACTAAAATCAGGCAGGTGCTCTGTTAAGTCATCTGACTGAAAATTTCATATGATTGGTAGTATGTGGTGACGTTTCAGCTAATTTGCTATGAACAACTTGAGCAATACCTTCAGAAATGCTGATCATCTGTTTGTCATTTAAAATTGTTAAACCATTTATTAGAAATTACTGTTTCCTCTATACATAGTAGTGTTTATCCACTCATTTTCTGAAATTAAAAAGCAGCTTTTAAGTTTCCATGGTTGTTACCAATTTAGGTTTAATCCTGCACCCTGAAATGTAACCCAAAACTTTTCAACTTTGTAATGCATGTTCTATGTTGAGTAATAGAGGGGAGTGCTGATGCTTTCAAGTTCATCAGATCTATGTAGTCCATGTTTGTGTGAAAGTGGGGTGAAGACTGCTCTTTATTTATTTTTTCCCTGGAGGAAGCATATAATGCAGACTGCTCCTATCTTATCTGCCCTGCCTAACCTATAAACCTGGTGCAACTCATTCCAGCCGTAGTCAGTTCAAAGTGATGCTTCTGTAGCTGTGCAGTAAAAACTTCAAATTCCATTTGCCATCTGAGCCCTTGCGGATTTGTTCTCACTGCCTCTGTTTCCTTCCATTTCCTGAAGAAGTGCAGCACTTCTTCCTAAGTGTTTAAATTTTCATTTTATAGGCTGAGATTTCTCATTAGGCACCAGACTCAATTTAATGCTTAAAATCAATGCGAGTTGTTATTTTCACTGAACTGGATGTTGGATTAGGCACTAAAACTCGGGCTCCATTAGCCTATGGATTCATCCTTTTTCCTGAAGGCAATTCCACTTACACTGAAAATGGAAGTGAAGTAGGAAATAAGAATAGAATTGTCTTGAAGGAATGGTGGTCTGTTTAAAAAAAAAAATCAAAATCTTGTAACTGCATAGCAGGTAACATTTGCTGTATTTTAAAAGAGAAACTTCCTATTTTTCCAAGTATTTAAAATCATCTCTGAAAACAAATCAGCAAATGCAGAACTAAAATAAGCCCATGCAAATAATTTAAATTTGAGTTCTCTGCAAACGAGCAGGAAGTTTTCTTGTTGATGCCTGTATCACAGAATCCATCACTACACAGGAGCTACATGTGCTAAATGATGAAGTTAAGAATTACTAATTTAGAAAAAAAAAGCTTCATAATTGCTTAATCATCTCCATCCTGTAACATTGGCTGGGCAGCGTTTTCTGTCTTTACACTTTGCAGGTTTCCAGTCTGGTGGGTATTTCGGTCTCTTGGTGTACAGTTTCTGTCTGACCCATGGGATTGGGAAGAAACTGAGTGGGTGTGTTGCCAGACACATGACATTCTGTTACTGTGAATGAAGTCAGGGAAACAGAATGATCTCAGAAAACCCAGGTGTGCTGCAGTTGGTGTGAAACTCTGCTGTCAAAGTGGAGGCAGATTCTTTGACTGCAAACTAGACTTCATCTTGTTGAGTTGAACTGGCTGCCCAGATAGTGTCTGTCTGACTGTTTTCTTCAAGTAAAAGTAGTCTACCAAGACTTAACAATTACTTTAAACATCAATAGTTTTTAATTTTCTGTTTTAAGCTGCTAATTCTACAGCCTGTACTCTTCCTTCTCTTAAAAAATGTTGTGAAGATCTTTGCTTCAATCACTGCTGCAAAATCATGCCCCAGTGAAAGGCTGGATAACTGTTGTAAATTTACAATGTCCACTTATCATGGAATGACAAATTGACAGTTTCTGTAGCTCTTTCATGTATTTCATCCTTTGGAAGAGCTTCATGTTTGTGGGTAAGTATTGGTGAGAACTGAGGAGTGAAACTTCCTCTTAAGACTAGAGCTTCTGATTTCAAACACTGAATATAATGGGCCTTAAAACCTAGTTTTAACATGGTTTTAAGCTAGGTTTTGAAGTGGTTGGCAAATGTTGTATCTTTGGCGGCTTCTTCTTATGAAACATCATCTTGTGTCAGAAGAACCTGGTAAACCTTTATGTGTGGACTGCTTGGACTCGGTGTGACTCTTCCTGGAGTTCATGGTTGGTCACTGCAACCTGGCTTCCCTTATGTTCCTGGGCGATGTTGTGTTTCCTGGCAACAAGATGCAGATAGCAGCATGTTGAACCTTTCTGAGAGGCTGCAAACATGCTAGAACAGCTCATCGTTCACATGGTTACCGCATTATTTGGCTAAAGCTATTAATCTCTTGTGGTCAGACAAGCTTTACAGGCCTATCTATACAGATTGCATACAACAAGGAAATGTCTGTTCAGCAGTTTGCATGTCCAAGAAGGGCCATGCGGAAGCCAGCCTGACAACCAGTGGGTGGTAGTTGTTTATTCTCGTTTGCTTTAGACACAGTTTGTATGGCACAGTAAGTAATGCTTTCAGACTGCATGCATAGCATTGCTGTTGTGTGCTCCTCCAAGAAAGTTGGGCTGTTCAAGAAAGTGTTGGGCTTATTTGGCTCAATTAGAGAATAAGCTCTGAATTCAAATATGGTGTTCTTCAAATAAGTATTTATAAAAATCTATCTTCATCTTAATGCTATTGGGGTGAGTAATGTAAGAAAACAACATTAAAACAACATTGTTATTGCCTTTCACCTAAGGGAACACAATCTTAAAGCAGAAGTGGTAAATCTTGTCTGCTTACTTTGTAATATGACTGCTTGAGATCCTTGTTGCAGTTTGGCCTCAAACTGAATGTAGAACTTTATCTTAAATTGTTTATATTTTTGCTCTCTGAAGTCTATCAAGTACTTAAAGCCAAATATCAAACTATCTGAACAAGTGGGGGATATGAATTTAAACAGGTTGAAGGACTTAGAAGCTCTCAGTTTTCCTCATACATGTGAGGAGAGGCCCTGGAGAAGTTCCAGCTTGCAGCTAAGTATTGGAGAGAACAACGCCAAGTACTGTTTTCTATCATGAGAGTACCAAAGATGGGATATTTTAAGATACCCTTTAGTAAGGGGAAATACTTGGCTGCAGAGCTAAGCAGGTTTCCCCCCCACACACCTTTCTCATCATGCGTGTGTTGCTTTTCAAAATAAGCAACATCATTACTGATTACACAAGGATTTGTTTAAAATAACTTTGCAGTTCCTGACCCATCAGTTCCCCTGCTTTGGCTGAAAATTCCACCCCTTCTCTTGGCAAAGAGACATCACTGTGTGCCAGGGACGCAGTCAGGGAAAAGCAGGTGGTGCATATTCTGCCTGGGAGCAATTGACTAATTATTCAGTATACATGCATGGTTCTTGGATGAAGTCAGAGTAAATACTGTCTGCTCCCCAGTAGGGTTATCAGTTGGACTTGGAAAGGAGCAGTAGGGACAAAAATAAATGTACAGGGAAAAGTAGTATTCCTTCATTCATGTGTTCATGGAATAGCTTGATTCTCTGTTGTGGTTCAAATATGCTTCTATGATTTTAAAGTTATACAAAGCGTAGTGGAAGCATTTCAACTGTTCAGGGACTTCTGCAGGTTGTCTTACCTGTTGAGTGGTTAAATTTAGGAAGTTATCTTCTCTGCACAACTGCCACAGTGTGTAAGATAACTCGTGTGTTATTGATAACACTGGAGATGGGAAAACCGCTAAAATTCACTGTGTCTGGTGATTTTGTGTGTGATGTTTCTTGAATATACACAGCTGAACGGTTTTGAGCTTCTTTGCTTCTAGCAAGGAATTAAATGCAAGACAAAGACTCTAAATAAAAACATGTAAAGTGATTTTAGAAGTGTTTGCCTTGTGCTTTTTAATAGTATGGTTCAATGAATTCTTCTTGGCCCCACTTTATAATATCATTTACATATGAAATAAACTAATTGGCTTCTAGCCATAGAAATCTAGGGGAGTTAGAAGCATTGCAATAAGCTGCTGTGGGAATCGGCAATCACTCCTGTATCCCTTTTCTTGTTTCATGTCAATAAACAGATTGCAGTTTTGGAAACAGCTGTCACCAGGCTTCAGGTTGAGGTCAGTTTGTTCCCTGTGTTCTTATGGTAATAAAACAGTCCTTTCTGAAACAAAGATTTATGCTTGGTGAAACAGATTGCTCAGAAGAGTTGCTTACAGGTAATCCAGCGGGCACATGGTTGTCAGCCTGCCTGTCCGTTCAGTAAGGATGAGGAACAGAAAGAGTCTGTTAAAACTATTTGCTTAGTAGGAGCAGTGATCGTGAAGTTCCTTCCTAGTCAGTACATGTATTTGCTGAAATCGATAGGGATTTGAGCTGAGTAATAACTGCAGAATTTGATACTTGTAGTCAAATGTATATACATAGGAGTCCAGTTTTAGGAAGCTGGATGTGAAGGATATGACATGAAATGTTAAATGGAACATTCTGATACCGAAACAACCAGACTTGGTCACTAGTCAATGTTAGACTTGCGTATAATCATCTTTTATAATGCATAAATGAAACTGATGCAGTTTCATTATTTATTGTACATTTCAGAAGTATTTTAAGCCCTGAGATTGGATAGAATTCTAAAAAAGAGAAACAAACCATACAGACTGCTCCCCAACA